TTTAGTTGCACAACTGGAAGTCATCTATGACAACACTAACAGAAATGATTTTTTCCTTTGTCAGGCCATTGGAATGTTATCTAATAGTAGCGATTCCATCCCTATCATTTTCCTCATTACTGATGGGTCTGTTGAAGATGAGAGACATATTTGTGATGTTATGAAAAGTCAATTGACAAATCAACAAAAAGTTTGCCCACGAATATACACATTGGGCATAGGTAAGATTTTTAGTATTACTGATGTATATGTAGCATGTAAAAAGTATATTGAAGAGAAGAATAGGACATACATGATAAGACGTATGAAAGCAAAAATCCTAATAGACTTTTCAAAACTTCACACATTTATTAGCAGAAGTAGGAATAGATTGTGATCTCCAAAAGCATAAAAATGGATAGGTGCTTTTCAGTTTCTAAACTTTCAACAACTTTGAAGTAACTTCTACTATGCTTCTTCCATGAAGCCCAAATCTTATGCCAGCTCTGATTCTGCCTAACTGCGAAGAACCTGTGCACTTTAACGTACCAGCAAAGCTCTTACGATGGCTGGCCTTACATGAAAAACTGGAACTGTACAAGAAAAACTTGAACTCTGAATAGAGTAATAAGTGCTACACATTTTTCCCACTTGCATGCATTGCACCAGCTGAGCAGATTTTCTTCCTTTTCTTGTTACCATCTGTTAGAACATTATTTTATTTAATTTCTCAGTGAGCGTTTTTTCTTTTTTTATGAGGTTTTGAATCCATTTTGTTGTGCATGTCGCTAATATGTCTTGCATTTCCTGTCTTACAATGGCTCTCTTATCTTCATCCTGTACTATATTAGTTTGATTGCAATGCTTCTTTTACTTTGTAGTTGACTGGTAATTTAAATATTTTAGGTTCGTTCTGTAACCATTATTTTCTTCGGAATCTTGCAATAATCGGCGGTGGATATCATGATGTTTCTTATGATGCAGGTATGTTTTTTCTTGTCCAAATAAAAATGCTGAAGATCCTTCTTTCTAAATAAATCTTAGACATCTTCAAAATTATGCTTGAACTTTACCAAGTTCTTTTGCTTTCTCATCATATATTCTTTCAGCTTCAGCCCATATTGTATCACGATTGTCTTTATCTTTCAGCAGAATATTGTTTCATTTCTATTGAAACAGTTAGTTATGCAAGTTATTTAAACCAATTATAATTTGATTTTGTTGTTAATTCCTGCAGTCCACAGCACCGTGGTATATTGTGCATATAAGTCTTTTATTTATGTCTTCTGATCTGTATTCAATCATATGATACTGCAAAACTCAAATTTAGCATCGCAGGGCTCTTCAACCCAAGAATCTCATAGGCCTTGTCCCCCTGTATTTGGTCTTTTTTTGTGATGCATGATACAGACATCCCGATATGCGATTTTTTTAAAAAAGTACTCACGCTACATGTCGTCGACACTTTGATTAAATTTTTTAAAATTCTATAAAATAAATTGAATTTTATACTTGTAATTAATTTTTTCTCGTTGAAATCTCTTAAAGTGAGTAACTATTACTTTGAGTTAAAAA